ACTACACTTGTGGTAGACATCTTGAAGTACTGTTTATCCCCCTCACTGCTTTTGAAAGTATGCTAGTTATTTAGGTCACTGTTCGGTCTCTTATTTCATGCATTAATGAAGTATGTATATTGCCATATAACACTTTTTAAAAAGCTTTAGTTTTAATTTCAAAATAACTGGTTTTCTTTCAACTCCTATGTCTTTGTATACACTTAAAACATTATTCCAAGAAGTATCAGACTGCCAAAGGGGCCCACCTCAGCCCTACCTATCTCCCTCAGTCCTCACACCCCGTTAGGACCAGTCTTCACAAAGGAAGGAACAACAGCTCACGAGGCAAATATCCACCATGTACTTTCCTCATCTGGAATTCTCCACTGGCCCTCAATTTCACCCCTTCCTTCTGTCCTCCTGTATCATTGTAAGGTTTATACCATCCGTTTAACAAGCCAAATAGGGTGAGGCTAGAGAGAGACTTAGTGCCAACATTTAAAGAGATGGTTACTCTCAGGGACCTGATTATGTAAATGGAGAATGAGCACTTGTACAGTCCTAAGAATGAGTTCACCCTTAAAGTTATGTACTCTGGGTGCCTCTGGCCTCACCCCAGTTACGCCCTGCTATCACAGAATATATACTCATAGTTTAAGCAAAGCTCTTGAAAATGCTCCACTCAGCTTTCATTAGAATGTGGTCTCAACCCTGGCTCCAAATAAGAATCACCTGGGACGCTCTTAAAAATCCTTATGTTCAGACTGCAGCCCCAGGCTAATTAAATGAGAATTTCTGGAGGTGGCCCCTAGCACCTGTATTTTTTTATTTTGCATTTAAAGCTCTCCAGCAGATTCTCAAGTGCAAACAAGGCTGGGAACCACAGCCCTAGAAAGACTTCTTTAGAAACCCCTTACGAGTTCTGGATGAATCTGAAATCCAACTGTTTGAGCTTAAAAAGTGACAGATAATTAAGACTCAGGCCCCAAGAAGAAGCACTCATCTCTTCACTCACTCAACAAACACACCCGAGTGTCCACAGTGCTCCATAGCACAGATCTCCTCCCTCCCTTCAGGTAAGCTTGCAGACTGGTGAGGAAGACAGAAATTAGTCAAACTTGTAAAGGAGTATTTACAAACTGATAAAAGTGCTATAAAGGAGCAGATGGGGGCAGAGAGTAAAGTAGGGAGGGGACTGCCACCCAGAAGCATTATCTTAACAGGATTAACCCATCTAAGAATTACCTAACTCCCTAGGGATCTGAATTTTTGCTTTGACTTACTATTTACTCTTCATTACACATTCTACAACTTCACTGGTAGAAAACTGGTAGCTAACTAATCTTGTCTAATAGCAATGCAAGTGAATTTCATCTTAGAAAACAGTATAATAACCAAGTTATAGTTTTACTGCTCTACAGGGTATTCACCAATTTTATATGTAATTTAGCAATCTTACTCCATCATTCTTTCCTTCCATGACTATAAATATTTCTGACTCTCCTACACTTTCTTGAACCAGCTTTACTCTATGCTGGTTCCTTCATTAATGAATTAATTTGACAAAACCTACTTTACACAGAATGGTGGGGCAGTCCACAAATCCTGAAGGATGAGCAGGAAGAGCCAGCCACTGGAAAAAGATGGGGGGAAACAGACTGCGGGGAACCGAAGACCTTGAGATGACATGGTCTTTCCTGCACCAGAAATGGCTAGGCCAGTGAGGTCCGGCTACAGACTGTGAACACAAGAGGAGGGGGCAAGTTTAAGATAAGGATGGAGAAGAGACTAGCTTACTTTAGGGCCTGAAAGATGAGTGTAACGACTTTGATTCTAGTCTGATGTACAACGAGCCAACCAGGGGAGGATTTCGAGGAGACGGATGAAAAGATCATTCCTACTGCCACATGGGAAGAGACTGGAAGAGAGAAGAGAGGAGGCCAAGAAATCAATGACAAAACCACTGTGATATCCGAGTGAGTGGCTGAAGGTGGCCTGGTCTAGTGGGTACAGACAGATGAAGGGAGCAGGCAATGAGACTAGAGCCACAGGGCCAGGACTGTTGATGGATTACCCTTTGGAGTGAGGGAGAGGGCGGAACCAAGGATGACTTCTAGGTTCTTGGACTAAACAACTATAGATGGTGGTGGTTGGCCAAAATGGGCAAGGCTAGGGGTTAGAGGTTAACGCAAACATATACAGAGACGCGGGTAATTCGAAGTAAGAATGGACTCAACTCCATGAGCATGATGAGGGTACTACAACCTTTCAGATTAAGTTCTCACAGAGCATTCTCTTTGGCCTTCAAGGTTTGTGTCATCAAACACTGAACTAATGGATTTCAAGCAATAAATTGGAAAATTCTAAATGGCAGCTCAAAGTGTGGCCCAATCTTGCTCTCATTCTTACTTAACATGTGCTGACTGCAAATAATTTTTATTTAATAAATCTGTAAATGAAGGAAGAAAATTCAAAATTAACTGTGGATATACATAAACTGTCAAAGATAAAAGGCAACATCAGGATTTATAAAATACAACTGAGAAAGCCTTATACTTGTGAAAAACTGTTAATCCTTTACCCATGTAATAATTTAGACAACCCCTCCTTATCCCTCCTCCACTCCCAGGAAATTAAGCTGTAGATGTAGGCACAAATTGGGTAAAAGACCATTCTAACTTAAAACAAGCAACAAAAGTTTTAAAAATGTATTCTTGTATACAACAAAGCAGCTTTAACTTTTCCAGAAGATAAAACTGGAAGATACGACAATAAAGCTTAATGATCACTTACAGTGGAATGGAAACTGGAAATTTTCTGTCTACCCCAAGTCCAAGTACAATGTGATGTGACTTTAAACTAATCACAGCAAGTGACTTATAGCAGTGATCACTCTGCCTTATAGTGGTAAATACCAAACCTGCCACTGAAATAATGCTCCATTAAAAATTATTTTAAGAGGGGCGCCTGGGTGGCTCAGTGGGTTAAGCCGCTGCCTTCGGCTCAGGTCATAATCTCAGGGTCCTGGGATCGAGCCCCGCATCGGGCTCTCTGCTCAGCAGGGAGCCTGCTTCCTCCTCTCTCTCTGCCTGCCTCTCTGCCTGCTTGTGATCTCTGTCTGTCAAATAATTAAATAAAATCTTTAAAAAAATTATTTTAAGGAACCAAATTATGTAATACCAAGGCATGCCTTTTGGATCAGATTTTTTTCCATTCAGAAAATACTCCCTGATTCCAGATTATAATCAGCACCTTACTAAACAGAATAATCAAGAAGAGGATACTATGCATGAAGAGGGAGGGAAGTGAAGGCTGAGCTTCTGGCTCCAAACTCCACTAACATTATGTCTTTAGGATACTATGCATGAAGAGGGAGGGAAGTGAAGGCTGAGCTTCTGGCTCCAAACTCCACTAACATTATGTCTTTAGGCAAATTACTCAACGCCCCCTAAACTTCAATTTCCACATCTGTAAGAAAAGGATAACAACAGCACCACAGGAGAGACTTCCAGTGTTTATCCACAGCCAGTTTTCTCCTTGCAGGCACAGGAGAGAATTACACCACCCCCAGTGAGTGGTGTAGTTCAGTGGATCCATGTGACAAGTTCTGGCCCGTGAGCAGGAGTAACGAGAGTCACATCCAGGACCAAGTATTTACCTGCTAGGGTGAGAAACAATTTCTCTGTTGCAGCAATATAGGAACAGGTGCTTGCCGGGGGAGGGGGAAGTGCCGAAAGAGAAGGTAGCTGGGATCATGAAGCCACCACATGGAGGGCAGCTGCCCTAGAGGGTCACTGTGACCCACTGCAAAGCAGGAAGCGAACCTGCATTTTGTTAGGGCACTGGGATTTCAGTGGAATTTGTTTCACACTTCATCCTAGGCAATGCAAGCAAATACAAACACCTAATGCAGTAGGCTGTCAGGAGGACTAAATGAGATGGTTTCTGGCAGACACTAAGCCTTTAATAAAGATTAGCAGGATGATTGTGGCTTCCTGACGGTTAGCGCAAAAGTACTTTATTTCCCATAGTCAAGCTATCAGACTCTTCTCAGCTATTCAAGAGTTGTCCTACAAGTTTCCTGAACCCACTCTGAGGTTTACCAAGGACTTTACAGGACAGGCACGGACAGCTACGTGGTTTTAATCTCAAAATGAGGAAAAGGAAGAAGCTCCTGCATGGCTGTGTGAATTTATGAGAGTAACTTAGATCAGAGTAAATGGACAGAGGGCCTCAGCATGGCCCAGGAATAATCTACCTTCTTCATAAAGAATTGTAAGCCCAATATTGAGGCAGTATAAATGATGCTAAGTTTGGGGCTTTGCTTTTTGTTTAAGTTGTGCAGTGTTCAGTCACGCAGTTGGGGACAGGGATAGCAAGATAAGAAAACATTAAATCAAAACTTTGAGAAGCTAAGTTCATTTTGCCAAAATTTTGGTAGCTCCATAATACTTACTGATCATCAGAAGAGTGCTTCAGGTATTGGGGGACTGAAGGACGATCATGTATGATATGACTCGCAGGGACAGGAGAGGAAGTAGAAATAGGTTCCACTCAAACTCTCCCATGTATTTGTCTCCTTGTCCCTAACAGAACTCCAAATGGCATTATATATTCCTCAAGAGGAAAATAAAACTAAATGTTATTATTTTGCCACAGACTCTAGAATTCCTGTCCTGATCTCCTGCTAAAGAATAAAATCTATTTTAACTTCAAGTCCATTAAAAGGCATGAATCTAAAAAAACAAACAAAACACTAAAAAAAATCTAAAATTTAAAAAACAATTTAAAAAGGCATGAATCTCAGGTCACTCTCTGAATTTTTTTCCCATTTCAGAAAGAAAAAAAAGAAAAAGTAAGGTACCTGCTAAGTTTTCTTACTTTATTTTACAACAGTTGGAAGAACAAGGAGAAATTCCACAAATGCTTACAGAACAGGCCTTAAGCCCACTAAAAACGGTTCTCATAAAAAAGACACTGGTCATGGACAATAAAATGTATAAATGGGAGACACTTACCACATTTAATACTCTCTATCCGTACAGGGAGGCCAGACTGTGCTGCAGCAATCAGTTTTAAGGCAATGTAAAACTGTGTTGGACCAAAATAACCAACTCGCTTTGCACCACACAGTTCTGTGATCTGAAAAGAGACAAGAAAAGCCAGGCTGTAAACCTCATTTCATAACAGGAAAATGAGACAAGATATATTATGAAATCTGAAGGATTTCATAGTGTAGCTAACCAATAACTCCCTGGAGAACCTATGTGTACACACTGGTTGGGTTTTTTTTCCTCCAGCTGACAGGAAGATTTTCAATTCAGATAATTAAATTATACCTACTCATGATGTTTCAGGACTGAGTGATTATTCCTCCTCTTTCAAAGATAAAAATAAAGGTGACAGAGTATGGCTATTACTGTTCTTACAAAAAGACAGTGACTTGTTCAGGGGGCGTGGATACTAATGTACAAAGTCTAGAAGATCACTGGAGTGAAAAGGGAACAGGTTAGTCATTACCGCTACTTGTGGATTACCCCAGCTGATCAAAACTAAAAGTGAATTAATTATTTTTAAAATTTTCAGGCAACAGGATTTCCTAAGCATTGAAACTACATCACAAGTGCTCACTTCAGAGATGCAAAAGGGAGGGGGGTAGACTATGAACACAAATGTCTTTAAGATCTTGCAATCTTTAATCTGCAGACCTAAACTAACACATATCCTATTGGTAGTTTAAAACTAACAAATATTCAATGACTTTTTAAAGTTATTTCAAAGTAATACTCAAAAGTTCAAATAATAGTAAGTGGTGTGAAGATCTAAAAAGCAGCCTCCACTTCCTATGGCCCAGAGGAAAACATTATATTCTTTTTTTGTATTCCTTTAGAAATGTTCTACACAGACATATATATATAGCACACACCTGTGTTTTTCCTCTTGTTTATTCAATACTTTACACAAATAGAATACCACATACTATTTTGCAACTTGTGTTCATTTAGCATTATTTCTTGAAGAAAAATCTTCTCTATAAGCACAGTTAAAATTACATCTTTCTTTTAACAACTACACAATACTCTGCTATAAAGATACACCGTGGTTTCCTTTTTTAGTTGATCCTTATGGATGGGCTTTTAGATTTCCAAACTATAAAGAGCCACTAATTAATCTTAAGAAAAAATCCTACAAAAATGCAACTGGGATGTCAGCAAAAAGAGGCCTTCAAAAATTCTCTCCTCCATCAAAGCAATGAGAAAACCCACTACGCAAATGGACAGAACTCTGGAAATTAACCAAAGGCTCGTAGCAATCCAGGGAGCATATATTCAAGGAAAGTTGCTGAATCTCAGGAAGAACACTGAGTTTTGTGTTATTTAACAGACTGTACACCCAAGTCCCCACCCCCAACTGCAGGCCTCACTGTGGTTGCAGGCGTCCCCAGCCTGCTTCACAGAGACACAAATAGCCTGGCAGCCACAGGAGTGGAGAGGACAGGGCTGGGCTTCTTGAATGTATAGATTAGTGTCTCTCTCTCTCTCTCTCTCTCTCTCTCTCTCTCACCTTCCCTCTCCCTCCCTCCCTCCCTCCCTCCTCTCCCTCTCTCCCTCTCTCTCTGTCTCCCCTTCCCTCCCTCCTTTCCTTCTGATACTTACAGTATTTCTCATAGCAGGTGGTCTAACTCCTAGCCCTAGACTACAGCTGGGGTTGGGGAACATCGAGTCCTGTCTTCTTGGTTGCATCCATCAGGAACAGAGCTTTCCTCATATGGAACTGGTGGAGGACAAGTGGGGAGCAGGTCGTGGTTCAAATACTGCAGACTAAGATTTAGGAGGTGTTCTTGAATGCTTCTCCATCTGCTCTACATCCTCAGGTCAATTTCCAATGACTTTATTTTTCGTATTTTTTTATTACCACTTAAAGGGTTGTTTCATTGAAGAGGGTCTGCTGAGTTTCTCAGACTGCTGTTCCAAAAGTCTCAATCCTCCCCAGATTCATTCTTGACTGGAGAAGCAATACGAGGTTATAGCAAAGAGAACAGCCCCTGGAGTAAAAGACTTGGTTGTGAATCCTGGCCTGGGCACTAATTAACTGTTTGCATAACCTAAGGCACACTACTTAACTCTTGTGCCTCAGTCTCCCCATAAGTGTAAGGAGAGAGAACGGTAATTACCTCATGAGAGCTAATTAGCAGTGCTGACAATAGCAACTATTCAATAAATGCAGTGCCTCGATTACCATCCAAATGATCACCAAATCCCTCTTTCCAAATGTAACGTCTCAGAGCTTCAGGCGCTTTTCCAAAACCCTAATGCAGATACCCAGCCCCATCTTAGAAAGTAACATAACTAAGCCCCTCCCCATGTATCCTGGCACCTGCTAATTGATCTTGCCGATGTCAACTGTTCCGTATCCTAAATCAGAAACTTATTGTCAATGGTAACCGTATCCAGTCAACCACTGACCCATGTCCCAAACCAAGCCTATCTTCCCCTCTGTCATGGCCTTAACCCTTCCTAGTACCTAACCTTGCTGTCGTTAACAAATTTTCTAAATAGAATTCACATGCTTAACCATACAGGAACAGATTTCTTTAACTTTTTTCTAACTTTATTTCATTAGTTGGTGATGTTCTCACAACAAAACAAGCAGGCACTAATACACAGAGAGACGAAGAACCCAACTGCGACTTTCAGATAATAGTGAGTTTTCCTCAAGTGAACTAGTAAACATCAATACTAATTATCAGAATTTGTTTCTAGAAGAAATATAATATTCATATGGAAAAGCATAATATAGATACGGAAAAGCATACAAATCCTAAGTGTATGCTGAATAGGGACATAAGTTTTCACAAATGGAACACAACTATGTAACAAGCGGCCAGGATCAAGAAATAAAACATTACTAGCCTTCTAGAAGACCCCGCTGTGTAGCTCCTTTCAATGGCTACCCATATGCCATTTTCCTAACTTCTAATATCATAGATTAGTCTTGCCTTTTTCTGAACTTTATATAGTCAAAGACTATGTACCCACATGTCTGGCTTCTTTGTTCAATGTTGTTTCTGACATTCTTTCAAGTTGTTGAGTGAAGTAACGTTCAGTCATTTTAGTTGTTATTCAAATATTTGTGTGGATATATCACAAATTATCTATCCTTCTGCCACTGGACATTTGGATGGTTTCCACTTTGGGTCTATTCTGAATCGTGCAGCTATAATATTCTTGCTCATGTCTTGTCAAGACATGCAGAGCAGAATACATTGACCTGAAATACATTTCTCATTAGGTTTTTATCTAACAGTGCCAACTGCTGGCTAACCAGATATGTATATGTTTAGTGTTAGTAGATATGGCCACGCTGCCACCGACGGTGTTTGGGAATTCAGTTTGCTTTACGTCCTTGCCAACGCTGGTATTCTTGGGCTTTTTCGTTTTCACCATTCTAATGGACTGTGGTATTATCTCACTGCAGTTTTACTTTGCATTTTTCTGAGAACTAGGAAGTTTATCACCTTTTCATAGGATCCTAAGTATTATGGTCCTGAAACCAATCCCAGAATGTGAAGGGGGAGGTATCCCACACAGCACCAAGTAATTCTCCAGACAACATCTGGGTGTCCTGTTGTTGAACACAACATCTGGGTGTCCTGCCGTTCAACTCTGCTCTGACAGGATTATGTAGAGACAGCATCAGACTCTTGGCTGGGTCCATCAGGAACAGAGCTTTCCTCATATGGAACTGGTGGAGGGCAGGTGGGGAGCAGGTCGTGGTTCAAACACTGCAGACTCACTGTTCTTCCCAAGATATAGGAGGTTTTCTTGAATGATTAAGGGCTTGGTCCTCTGCCCCCTGGGTGCCCCCCCACACACACACACCCTTTCAGACATCAGTCACAACCCCAGCTTGTTACCAATTGGCTATAAATCAGAAGTTCCCATGACCCCTCCTCAGGTTTGGTTAATTTGCTACAACAGCTCACAGAACTCAAAGAAACATTTTACTCAGTGGATTAAGTTTATTATAAAAAGAATATAACCCAGACACAGCCAAATGAAAGAAATTAATAGGTCAAGGTATGGGGAGTGTGCAGAGTTTCTATAGCCTTTTGGAGCACCACTCCACTTTCCCCAGATACCTGGAGCTCACCGACCCAGAAGCTCTCTGAAAGCTGTCCTTTGGGGTTTTTAATGGGTGCTTCATTACATTAGCATGATTGATTAAATCACTGACTATTGGTGACTGGTTCAACCTCCAGCGCCCTCCCTGCCTGGAGGTTTGTGAAGGGAGGGTATCCGAAGTTCCAAATCTCCAAATCACAAGGTTGGTTCCCTTGGCAACCAGCCGGCATCTCAGGTTAGCTGAGGGCTTACCCCAAGTCACCTTATTAACGTAACAAAAGACACAGTTACTGCTCTGATCACAGGAAATTCCAAGGATTTTGGGGGTTCTGTGCTTTAGGAACTGGGCTGAAGACCAAATATATATTTCTTATTATAAATCACATTACAACAGGCCATTTGCATGTGACTAATTCTCTACTAATCTCCATGAAATAGGGAGATGTGCTTGTTGTTCATCGTTCTCTGCCATATTGTCTATACTTCATAAATACTGGTTGAATAAATAATCTTTCTGACCCATACTCACCTGAGCTCATCTTCCAGTTCCAGTCCGTCTCCATATATCATGCATATTCTGCCTTTTGAGAAGTTGACAATACTGCTCTCATGCTTTAAGACTCTCAGCCTGGGGGCACCTGGGTGGCTCAGTGGGTTAAAGCCTCTGCCTTCAGCTCAGGTCATGATCCCGGGGTCCTGGGATCAAGCCCCACATCAGACTCTCTGCTCAGCGGGGAGCCTGCTTCCCTTCCTCTCTCTGCCTGCCTCTCTGCCTACTTGTGATCTCTCTCTGTCAAATAAATAAATAAAATCTTTAAAAAAAAAAAAAAAGACCTCTCAGCCTGGAACTCCACCAACCTCAGGACAATATTCTATCTCTTTAGTATGGCATTAAACTCCCTTCACAACCTGGCCCAGAGCAGCTTCTCTAGTTTCATCTCCAAACACGGACAAACACACAGACACATGAACACACAGGCACACGCCCACACACAGGCGCACACACACACATCCTGT